AACCATAAACCCCCCAAAAACCCTGCCCCCAAAAAACTGGCCCCCTCAAACCTTGCCCCCTAACCCCCAATTAGGGGATGGAGGCCCAGGTGGGATTTGAACCCACCAACCTTAATTGGGTGAGCCAGATTCTGAGGGCCAGTGGCAAACCATTGAAACTACAGAAGACTTTGTTCTCTGGTTTTTGACTTTGGGAAATTCTAGTCTGCTGGGGTGAGGCCAGCTCAGAGCAAGCTCACCCAGCCCAGCAGAAAGCTTCGGCTTCAAGCGGAAAGATGTTGCCGGTTTTTTCTTCGGCTTGAAGCCGAAGGAATTTAATTGACACAGGTGCAAAACATTTCTGACATAAAAACCCCCTTCGGACAACGCCAGGGGGGATTGGATGTTTGCTGGGACATGTGCTGGGATGAGCACACCATCGATAGCCCCGAGACAGTTTTTGAAAGCCGCCATTTTAGGATTACGCTTGATGCAGTCGTGGAGGGCTGTCGTTGTTGAGTCAAACTTGACGTATCGCGGGTATAACATGACAAGGGCCTCGAGCACCTCTTCAAAGTATCTGTTTGGAAAACCATCAATCCAAGAAATAAAAGCAAAAGCATATATGATATTTAGAACTTACCGATTGACTGTATATAATCCACGTCGGAACTTCACTGCGGTTTGACGCATGGAGTTGTTGTAGCGAGTAATATCAAGAAACATGAGGACCTGTTCTTTGACGGTCACAGATCGTCCATCTCCGAGGAGCGCTGCTTCTTCAAATTCCAGAACTAGCCGATCAAAGGTGGTTCGTTCGATTCCAGTGATCTCGCGGAAGAGTTCTGGCCGGGCTACATTCAATAGGAATCGTACGTATGTTGCCTGTCCACCGTCGCCATAATAAGGAGAGCCATCGGAATAATAGTAATCCAAGATGAGTATCGTAGCGGCAGCAGCAGCAGCTGAGATCAAGAGTATTAATTCGGATGCTGCAGACGAGATCTTGGATGACATGTTGAAAATTTGCTGAGTCGAATGCGAAGGCGTGGGGGAGTGATGAGATGGAGAATATTGGAATTTGCTGAGACAAAGCCGAGGTCGTGCAGGTGTGAATGAGATGGAGAAGAAGATAGCGGTCAGGAATAGCTGTATTGTGGTACACGTTTTCAGACCCAGCAGTTTCTGATACCGTTTTAAAAAAAGCGCAGAAAAAAAAACGGTCCAAAAACGATTTTCAAATCGGGATGCGCTGTGGTACGCGCCCTTAACAAATCGTGTTGCTTTTGAATGATTTGGGGGACAGTTTAAAATAGATTCCTGTTTTGGGCTTGGAATACCAAGCAACCTGAGCCATCGGGGAAGCAAAGCACATCACTTCAGCTCAAGGTCAAACCTCCTTAATAAGAAATCTAAAAAAAAAAAAACCTCAGGTCTCTGTCCTGAAATATCTCATCTGTTTCTTCTCCCTTCACTGCTCCTACTGGCCAAAAAACCAATGCTTGTCTTTGGACCACCTGTGTCAATTAAATTCTTCGGCTTCAAGCCGAAGAAAAAACCGGCAACATCTTCCGCTTGAAGCCGAAGCTTCTGCTGGGCTGGGTGAGCTGCTCTGAGCTGCCTCACCCTGCAGACTAGATTTCCAAAATCAGAACCAGAGACAAAGTCTCTGTAGTTCAATGGTTTGCACTGGCCCCAGAATCTGCCCACCCATT